TAATGAGATGAAATTAAATATACTGTGGTTTAAATTATTACTTACACGAGCAGTGCAGTCATAACTTCCAGATACTACTATGTCACCACAAATTTCCATACACCGTACACTCGCTTGGTGTCCAGCCAACAAATGAAGTAATCTACCTTCTTCTATATTCCAAACACGAAGAGTTGCATCGCGAGAACCACTAACGGCAATGGTTTTATCCTTCATTTTTAATGAGCGTACCGTTGATGTGTGGCCGTGTAAAACATGTTTGCATTCAGCTGTAATAATATCCCAAACCCGAACTTCTCTAAAAATTATGTAAATATTAAAACAAGATAAATGTAATTTCCTTGAATAAAAGCTCACTTTACCTATCACAGCCTCCAGAAACTAAAACTTCGTCAATATATTGCAACGCCCACACACCACCTTCGTGTCCTGTCAATGTTTTTATGTAATTACCATCGGATACATCAAATATATGGATCTTTTTGTTATCCATCCCCACAACTATATAGTTTTGACACATTTGCAAAGACGTAACTACTCCTGAATCAGGGCTGATATGAGTAACAAGTGTCCTTCCACCATATTTCCAGTTCGATTCGACAATGTACCGCCTTCGGAAATGGTCCTTGTATGAGAATTTGCTGCATTTAGAGGTAGGTGATTCGAATGTAGGAGAGGGTGGCAACACCGGTGCGATCGAGCTACGTCTTCGGAAATGATGACGTACACAAAGATTTTTCCAAGTAAATTCATCATTGAGCAACGAACGCCAAAACTTGGAAACGCTTGACGCTCTAGAAAGCGTTTTTGGATCATTAATGAATGATAATATATGAAGACTAAGTTCAATTGGAAGGTCTTTCAGAAAGTCACGTTTCAAACGTGGCGAAATGAAGTTGGACACGAAAACTAGCTGTTCGGTATTACAAGAATTTAGAAGTTCAGCAAGAAGTTTTTGCCTCTGCAAATTGTCCATATTCTGAAAACCCATTCTGACTGTACGGCAGAACTCCTCGTCAGGCGGAGGAGGGGGATATCCCTCAGCTGAAACAGGTGGAAAAAGTTGTGGTGAAGGAGCAGGGGTTGGAAGACTATGGAAATTTGTTGTGGATACCCAAGGAACTTCAGGAGGAAGTGAACGTTGTATTATGGACAATGTTTGCTTTTTCTGACAATCATTTGGAGCTTGTAAATTGACTTTTCCTTTAGGCATCAATACAAATATATTTGCAATTCAATACAGCAATATGTCGTTTATTATCCAATATTTGCGATTAGAAGACTTCAAGATGAGGGAAGAATATTTCGACGGAATAAGACAAAAATAGCATAAAGGATATTTAAATATCAGAACACAAATAAAATAAAGAAAACAACAGGACAACGAATAAATTACGATAGGCCGTTGAAGATTGACTGGTTTTTTTTTTCCTACAGCTTAAAGGGTCCCAAAAGACCTTACATGCTAGTATAATAAAGTATACATATCGATATGCAAGAGAACCAAAAAAGAATGTTAGCGGGCCAATCATATGTGTAGTTATGGTGAAGTTCATTATTCAAGTTAGCAGCTTAAGTTGGACAGTCGGGTGGCTTTATGTATTCTTTGACTCTCCTAATTTTATAATTCGGTCAGGGCTTTAATAAGGTGCATTGTTTACGATTTTAGTAAAAATTTCAGTAACACAATATTTGTACTTTCTGACCAATAAATCACTACAATGCGAGAAGAGAGAAAAGGTGTACAGCCGCAGCTAAGCATATTTAAAAAAATATATATACAGCATAAACAATAAAATTGTTATTAAAAAATCATATAAAAGAACAAGAATTTAACTAATTTTAACCCCGGGTTAAAATAAATTTTAACCACCCCGTAATTTATTAGGGTTAGAAATAAGCTAAAATAAGGTTTTTTATAGTGCTGAATATTTTTACTTAGTGCACTAAACATAGTTATTTAAGCCGTTTTGAGTTATAATAAGGGGGGTGATGCTAACTAGAAGGGCAAGTTAGCAATATCCAAAGAACAAATATAAAATATCAAAATCTATCAAAAGTATTAAAAAGAATAATCAAAAGTCTGCTAAAATAGAGAGCATTTATATTTATCATTAAGAAATTAAATATTGGTAAATAGTGCTTTGAATAAAGTTGATCTAAATAACTCGAAACTAATCTAATTATAATAAATTATTATATGAATAATAATTTATACAATAAATTTATTTAAATTTAAATATTTACTGTAGATTAATTTTATTTGAAGCAAACTAGTGCTAAAGAATTAATCACAAAGAACAAATACAGTATATTTGAAAACTTATTGTTATACAATAAAATATGTTTAAGGGTAGTCTGCAGCTGAAGGGTAGAAATTTCATAGTAAAAATCAGTGAAATCACTTAAAAAATTTTTAATAATAGTGAAATAGCCAACAATTTTCACAAAGAGTACTATGTAAACTTCTTTTTTATTAAGTTTTTCTTTGACTTTTAATTAAAGTTATAGAGAAAGTTTATGTGGTTCTGATAATAGTAAGATCACAAAATTTGGTTTAGTGAATAATAAGATATTAATAATTTGCATTTTACAATTATATAAAATTTTTGCAAAAAAAATTTTATATAATCACAAAATATAAATCATTGATATTTGTAATTCACCAAAACAAATTAGTAATCTTACTACTATTAAAACCATATGAACTTCCTCTACAACTTTAATTAAAAGTTAAAGAGAGATTTACTTAGTAAAAAAAGAAGTTTACATAGTACTCTTTGTGAAAATTATTGGCTATTTCTACTATTATTAAAATTCTATATGTAATATCTGTTGATTTTTACTATGATGCTTATCAGTCACCTGATTTGTTATAACTAAATTTTTTATATATAAACTTATAGCAAAAACATATAGAATTATATATAAACTTTGTTGTGATGATATACATTGTAATGTAACAAGTTAGATCTATGGTTAACAAGTTACCTTACTTGACTAAGTGTATGAGTAGTTAAGAAATGTGTTTATATAATTTATAGAAAAAAATAGTTTATAAATAAGAGGAAATATTGTCGACTTATTGCTAATGTGACACTCACAAAGAAAAGGTTATACCCAACAAAAATTTATAGACAAAAGATAGATTTATTAACTCAGAAAATACTCAAAAGAATAAAACAAATATGTATAACTCAAGAAAAATATAATAATTCCAAATAAATATCACAGAAAAGGGACTTATTCCCAACAAAAATAATATAAA